CCCCAAAACCCCAAAACCCCAAAACCCCAAAACCCCAAAACCCCAAAACCCCGTGGGTGTCGAAAAGGATTGAACTCATAATATGAGAACACTGAATTCAAAATGGAGGTTTTCGACAAATCATAACTTCTCCAAAACTGGTAGAGATGCAAAGAGACCAACAGTATTCAATTAAATATTTATGACAAGTTATTTCTAGGATATTTTTAGCCCCTCAATTACTTTTATTTCAAGAGTTAATCACGATGGAATAAGACTCTTCCAATCTGCCATTTTATGTTTGGAACACTGTTCCATGGATCTATGCCTGGAGTGGTTTAGTGATCTGTCATCCTTTGTGAAGAGAGATGTTCTTCACCCTATTCATTATTGGTAGAGTAAACTAGGATTCAAATTATTTTGTGAAGTTCAGTCTCTAATCATACTTTTTATGGAATGGTGGAATTCTCTGACCAAAGAACAGTTCAACAGTTTGGTGAATAGAAAACCAAATGACAATTCAAATAAAAATTTTGTATCAATCACCCCTTTGAGTATCTTGATTCTTGAAACCTAAGCAACTCAAGAAAGGACTTAAGCAATCTAAATATGATCTAGGAGTGCTATGTTACCCCCTCTTCCCTTCCCTTTCCTTCCATCTAAACTTAACCATCAAGAAGTAAGTCTTAAAAATTTGACCATAACGAATTAATAATAGACCCAATTCGCTGCGGTATTCAAAAATATTCCTCTAAATCCCCACAAAGTGCAACTCTTGTTATCTGCTCTGCTCTCTGGCTTCTGCCTCCTATCCAAATGTTCTGCCAAAATCTTGCTTAAAAATTAAGTGGATAATATCTAAAGAAGCACTTTAACTTAAAGTATAAAATATCTGAGTGGTAGGGTAATGCTAAGATTTCTATAAGGCTTCGAGCCCAGCAGGAGTCTTTCAGGAGGACTCCTCCATAAGCTTTCTTGCTAGCGATGTTAGAGCCATAAAAATTGACAGAGCAGATGAATTATACCATTGACCACATAATTTTTATGAACTCCTCCTTTTAATGGTTAGCTAGAAATCTTTACTTTAAAAAATTCATAAGAATTTTATAAAGCTTATTAATAATGTTTCTGAAGTCTAAACTGATCTATATCATTTTTCATAAAATCCCAATTAAGTAAGCTTCTCATAAATTTAATTAAGCTTGCTGTCTCCAAGTTCATTAGCATTTAGTTATAGTTCACTTCCCTATTACTGGAGTCCTGCTTAGCAAACTAGGCAAGTGGATGGATAAGCCTACCTGAAAGTAAAAAAATTGAGCTTGCTAGTAAAAATTGCCAGAAAAGGATTATTTCGTATGGAAAGATTTGAAAATCCAGTGCTCTTTTATTCATAAGTCTGAATGTAATGGAACTATTCTTATTTATAAAAACATGGTCGAAAGTTCTCCCTTCTCTTATAATCTTGCAGGGAGCTATAGGGTGTTTTAGCTCACTCAATGCTTCAGAGCGAACATTATAATTTCCAGCTTTAGTTTGGATGAAAGTTAGTCTCAGAAATTCATATTTAACATATATGTCCCTCTGTTGGTGGAATTTTCTGAAGGAAATTTTAATAATTCAGCAAATCTTTTAAAGTAGAAATTAATTCAAAATCCACAAATAATGCATAAACCTAGCTTGAAAGAGTAGGAGAGAGTGCTTTTGCTAACCCAAGAAGAAAGAAAAAGATTGTTGTGAACTAGTTAGGTAATTATAAATAACATAATTAGGAGGCTATCCAGTTTATTCTGAACAAAGTTCTTCTCTTAAAGTCTCCATCTTCGGGTCTTCACAATTCTCAACAAGGTAGCCTCACAGCACTCTCAGACTCTTTGATTGCATTGCCTTTGTAAGTCTTTTCTGGGAGAACTTCTTGCAGCAGAGCTGGAAATCACTGATTTCATCTTTGACACTTCGGCTACAGCTTAATCTCTGAATTGTGCGAAGGTTGAGAATCCCCATAGTGTAGTAAATTAAGTCTTCAGTTATTTCTAATTGAGGAAACAACTCAGAAAGAAGATGCTTCATTCATAAGGAAATTTCTTTTGCTCTGCAGTTGATGTATCTCTTCCTGACAATCTTAGTGTTTTGGGACTTAAAGATGTCTCTGAAGTATCTTCTGACCATCCTCAACAGAGGCTTCTGAAGAACATCTTTTCTGGCTGGCTTTAGTTTCCTGGAGCTTGTGTTCTCTGAGATAGTAGGAGTGGAATGGGTTTGAATCTGGCTATTTAAGTCTTTATCTTGCAATCAATCTTCATTTTCTTTGCAGGGTTGGCTATCTAAAACCAAAATTATTAAGTTTTGTTATAATACCATAAGTTAGGTTATTCTCAATCAATTATTTCAAATTGGTATAGTTACAAATTAAACACGGTAAAATAAAAGTATCTTGATTAATTCAGGGGCATTAACCAGATACTGGTTTTAGAGTTTTCTTAAAACTCTTATGGTCGACCTAACCTCCATTATACAAACGAGTTTGCCATTGCTCTAGCTTAGCTCCAAACGAAGAGATTCGAGTGGTTTCAAATATGAAAGTTGCTTACCTATTTGTTGTTCTTGGATGTACAAGTGATTTGGTTTTCTGTTCTCCGAGAATAAAGAGTTGTCTAAACAACTGCTTATTGGGTTGCTTGGAGACTCTTGCTGCTGTTCTAGGTTAGGTTTCAAGCAAAGTTCTTGAGGCTCCTGTTTGAGAAAACTCCAGCCGAAAAGATCTCAATCTGAATTCTAAATAGATAAGGTTACTTTTAGTCTTAGAGAACAAGAGAACACTGAATGATTTGGGTGATCACGAGCATAAACAAACGCAATGACTCGTGGAGTATAGCAAGAGACTTACCTCCAAAAGCAAAGTATCAAGGCTATTTGCAAACACATTTTCTGGATACAAATAACTAGGATCGTTGATGTCAGTAATTTGAGGAGATAGTGAAACTTTGTTCATAATATATTATTCTTTATTATTATATTTGTCAACCTCGTGTTTCTTTTATGGGGTTTTGGGGTTTTGGGGTTTTGGGGTTTTGGGGTTTTGGGG